CCCCCCGGCGCCTCCCCTCACCCCGACGGCTGCCCCCCTCAGCACCTCGTGCCGGGAGAGGATCCCTTTCTCCTCAAGAGTTGCTCTCTTCAGCAGTCTGCGTCGTGGCGTGTCAGAGCCCTTCTGAATTTTAGCCTTTTCCCCCCTACGGACTGATCCCTCTTGGTCCCTCATCTCCCTTGCTTTCCTCTCCTTCAGCTCCCTGAGGGAACCCTGTGGCCTGTCGGGGAGTCTTTTCCTGAAGGAGCGTGCGCGAGCAGGTAGGTGCCCTCAAATCCATACCTGCAGATTTGTAGTGAATGTGCCAGAAGGTGCTAAGCCAAAGTTTTGCAACATCACGATACGTGTGAGGGGGAAAAACAAAAAAAAGAGATCCAAAGAAAAATTGACACCTCTCTCTTTTATTCACTGTCATATAACCTTCCCCATTTTCTACCAGTCTAATTTCACACTCAGCTGACGCAATCCTGAGCCTGCTCAGAGAGGTGGGCACAGGCAGACGTACCTCACTGTTCAGCAGCATGTGTCCATGTGAAGCAAATCATGGTAATGAGAAAGACGTGGCGATAAAGGTTAAATATTTTTCGTGTGTACTTACTGTGGCGATTCCCATTGGAAGTGGCTGACCGCGCACAGCTGAACAGAGACGGAGCACTACAGATTTTTTTACCTGTTTGATCAGATTATTTACAGTAATATATTATTTGCATTATAACAAGTGTGCTGTGGTATTTGGGGAAAAAATGAATTAAAAGCTGTAGTAACATGAGATCTATTGCCAGTGCTGTATATCCTATTAAATCTTGTTGGGAAGAAGTATTTTTGCCATGTGAATGGACCAGCACTTAAGTCTCAACCCCCATGAATAATCTCTCTATCATTGGCTCAGCAGTGTGAGGATGCACACAACCGCGTAATTCTTGTTTAAGGTCAGTACAGAACACACGGGGTTCAAAGAAGTTCATAGAAGCAGTTTCTTACTGATCTGTGTGGTAACTCAGTACCCTGTGTTTGGTAGCATTTCACTACCGTTCATGTATTAGAGAGCAGAAGAGTCTCCAGGTTTGGTTTTATTATGGAAATAGATATTATTTTCCCTGGCACTAGAGATGCACACAGCTGAGAATGAGTTCTCATTTTTGAAAGGGGAGAGCTGGTATCGAATGCTTTTGTAAGAGAGAGGCAGTCCATGGGTATATATTATTTTTGGTCAAGACATGACACAGTCCGTACTTGGACACAATGGCTGCAGATGGATGACATATCCATAGATACGAAATCCACTGAGAGCCTCTCTTGGGAGCTCTCCTAGTAGTCAGAGAGAAGGCTGAGGTTTGAAGATTTCATGGCAGGTGGGAACTGGCAGCTGACTTCTGGCTGTTGAGATAAGCTGTGCTCACAAGGCCCCCTTGGAGAAGTAGGAAAGCTGCTGAGGTTAGATTAGTCGCAATATTTTATTACAAGGTAGTGGCTGGTGTTATTGTTTTGTTACCAGGGTAGGAATTTTACCTTGTTTTCATTCATTCATATAAGACAGGAATAGAGGAAGAGAGAGGAAAAGTAAGCGTGTATACGTTTTAGTGGGAGTAACGCTGAAAAAACTCATTCTGTCTACAGTTTTTCTAATACTGTCACTGTACCAGCTGAGTATCTTCCACAAAATCAATAGAAATAGCAGAGCTGGGAATAAAATAAGACGTTCACTTAACAAGCGACACTCATGCAAGAAAGGCTTGTCAACAGGAAAAACGTGCAATATTTCCTGGAGATGGCTGGGCTTTGGATGCATCTGTTATTCTCTGAAGGACTATTTCAGAGCTGGGTAACCCCCAGCTGAAAGTTCTTTGTCTCCACCTCTCATGTGCTCCCTCCAGGGCTTTATGGACTGCTTTATCCCAGAGGACTGTGGTTGTCACAGTAGCTCCCAGATGGAGAATCAGGTTTTGATATAGCTGTCGATTCAATCCGCTAATTGCTTTGAAATACAAACCAAGGCCTTGTATTTGAATAAGGAGCTGACTCAGAGCTCGAAGAGAGGTGTGTGTAGCTCTGGGTGCGTTCATGCCAGGCCAAGCAGAGAAAAAGGTGTATGGTTACACTGTATACTGGCCAAAGTCTGTGCTTTGTCATTTGGGGGGTGGCAAACAATTTCTTGCAGCGCAGCCAGGCTCCAAGGATCCCGATGCATGTGTTTCAGCAAGAGGTAAGAAACCTGACCTGCCCCTGGAGTAAAAAGCAGGCCACTTCACTGTAAATTGGAGATGGTGTAGACGTTTTAGAAATCCCTTTTAGCCGTATTGGACTAGCTGAACACAAGAATTTTTTACCATTTCAAATTTATTTATTTATTTATCTGCAGTTCTTCTCAATTTTAGAGGATTTAACAATCAAAGTTAAAAATCAGTTCTTGAATTAATATACAGTGCTAAATCTGAGAAATGTGTCCTGTCCTGCCTCAGTGCAAGTTAATAAGATAATTATTAGTAAACGTAAGATTCTCCTCTTCTGTTTCCGTATCCTATTTTCTTTTATACCCCTCTCTTATGGAGCACTAAATTATTTTACATACCCACCATTCAGGAACTAACAGCATATTGTATGATCTATCAGCTTACATAACATGGAATGCTGCCATAGCTTTATACAAGAATTTTCAGTATTAAGGCCCTGATCCTGTAATGCATTCTGCAACTATAAAGCAGTCTGCCTGGCATCTGATACAGAAGACATTGTATAATATAATGACAAAATAAATATTATTCTTGTTCTGCATGTAACCAGAAAATGTCAGCCACTGTAACTTCAATGAAGCATTCAGAAGATTACTGCGATAACTACAAAGAAGCGTTGTACTACATTATAAGAGATGGTGTGACTTAAAAACAGAATAAAATAATTTTGTGACATAAATCACCAAGCCGAAGAAGTCAAATCCTTAACTTGTAAATAGGCTGGTACAGAAAATCAGTCTTTTACTTTAATTATTTTTGAGCAGATGGGTCAGTTGTCTACAGCTGGGTCCCTACTGCTTTCGCTGTATTTGTGTCTGCCTCGGGTGGCCAGAGTCTGGAATGATCTTTGTGTGGGGTCCCCACTCCTGGAGCTGATTGTGCCCTTATTCTTCCCTGTGCATTGCTGTTACAGAGATTTAGCATAGGATGTTCATGGTCTATGGGCAGAAATTCAGGCCTGTGAGCTGAAAATGGAAATTCACTATTCTTGCCTAGAAATGACTATTTGTCTATTATGTAATTTAATTTAAAGGCACATTGTCTTGGCCTCCAGTTTAATTTTATGTTAACACAGTTGTAATATGTGAGGGAAATAGTTTTCATCCTAAGGCTTTGCTGTATGTGTTTTCTGTTCATTTAGAAATGCCCATTTTTGCTTTAATGTCCTTTGTGGCACTAAAAAATGTGTAAAATAGAAGAAATAGCTGCTATTTTTATGTGATCTACAATAACCAGATTTCTGTACCCTGAATCCTAGCTCCTCTGCCTTATGTACCTAGTACATCTGATTTAGAGAGCCCTAGAGCCATCATTAATAATGCCACTATGCAAGGAATACTGGCATTTCTATGTTAACAAAAAAACAACTCGTTTCTCTTCATGCAAAACTTGGAAAGCACAGAGGTGGAAAAATCAGTATTTGACAGAGGAGAAAGGAGAAACTAAACAGTGTAATAAAATAATTTCAAACTTCTGAAATTAATTTCGATTGCAAAGGAAATATTCACATTTTTTCATTTTGACATATTAACAAAAACTCTGAATGAGGCTCTGACATAGCAAGGTAGGTAAGAAGAAGAAATAAAAAGAGATGTTATTAAAATGAGTAGGGACAATTTTATTATAGGAAACATGAATATGAATCACCCTGCTGGCAAGCATAGCCTTAGCTAAAATGGACACGAAACAAATGTAAAGGCAAATTATAGAATCATAATAAAAAAAGGCTGGACTGTTTACTTAGAGGTCATTCAGTCCAGTCCGGTGACCCAAGGCTGGATCAACTGTAACTACACTACTTTTGACAAATATTTGTCCCATATGGAATGACAGAGACTCCATCTGCAGTCTCTTCCATTATTGAATTTTCTTCACTGTTAGAGAGTTTACTAATGCTTAATTGAACATGTGGTACTGTAATTTGAGCTTTTTAGTTTTTGTTCAAGCCATCGTAAGCATGGAGAGCAGTTTATTTCCTTCCCCTTATCTGCAGCCCTTTTCATGTGTGAAGGCTGTAACCACACCTTCTCTCAGTCTTCTCTGCTCTACATAACCCCGGTCCTTTCAAACTTTGTCTTAGTCACGTGTTCTAGAAGTCTGATCAATTTTGCTCTTTGGTATTTCCTCCAATTGGTCCACATCTCTCTCGAGCTGATAGTACTTCAGATAAGGCCTTAGTGCTAAGTGATTTGGAGGAATTACTTCCTATGTCTTCTGTGCAATGCTCCTGTTAAGTGTCTCAATATGATGTTTGCTTCTTCTGCAGCTGTATGCTATTGTTGACTCATATTCAGCTTATGAATGAAATAACAATTTACACTTTGATTCTGTTTGTGGTATTTCACATGCATAACACAAGAAAGCAGGAGTTTAGTGTTACTCTGGGTAATCTCATCTCTCACTTTCTTAGTCAAGAATTTAGTACAAGTGGTCTTTTTTTTTTTTTTATGGAGGGAAATATTTAAATGCTGCCCATCAGTGAGGAAGAGTGGTTGGGAGATGAACAGATCCCTTAGCGGTTGTCCTGAATTTCTGAATCTCTAATGTCTCAGAAGACTCATTATTAATATCCCAAAATAGGTAGGTTTAAATACAGTTATTTGGTACTGTGTTAAAATTCAACTCCCTCAAAACTAGTGGAGTAAAATGAGGAAATAAATAAAAATCTGCTACAATGCTCTGCTCAGTATTGTAAAAGTATAAATGTAATAAGATGGATTTATACTATTCATACAAATTATTACAAGGACCACTTTATAAAGCATTTCACAGGGTTTGTGATAATAAATTGTCAAAATCCCTAATAGCTTGACTGAGATCTGAAGATGTTAAATTCAGTTTTCAAGAATCAATTACAAAAATGTTAGTTTTTTGATCAGTGTATGCTGCAAGATCTGTGGTGTTTTCTTCCTCTTGTAGAGTAGAGAAGTACTGTTTGACAATAGTATTGTAATGCTGAAAGTGGTCTGTATAGAGGTGGCTACTACTTGGACACAAATCCCAAATAAATCTTTCATCTGAAATACCTTGAGCTTCATATTTAATGCTTATTTTACATCAAGTTTTATATAAAACTCTTGGAAAGAAAAAAATGTGATAAACTGACTTTTTATTAGACTCTCCAGAAATAGTTTGGGTTTCTACGTTTATATATCTGTAATTTTCTATAATCTTCCATGTAGATTGGTTGAAATGTTAATCCTGCAGATCTCAGTGTTTGAGAGCTATTCATTGATAAGAAGAAAGAATTCCAGCTACTGACACAGAACTACTGATACAGACTTCTGTTTTTTTTCTTCTAGGGGCATTACTTTGTTGCTCAAAGATGTCCTTTGTTCTAGGCCAGACATCTAAAATATTCAATGCTGTGCTATTTTGTGTTAAAGAACTCGGCTTTGATTTTAGTTAAATCAGTATAAGTTCCATTTGGAGACACAACTCTATCGTAATTTAAAATCGTTGATAGTTAAGAAACGAGAATTGATCGGTTGAACATATTAAAGCTCTCCCATCTTGAAATTAAATATATTTTCATCCTCCACATTAAATAGTATGAACACAAACCGTTTTACTTCACGTTTGTATTTTAGAGAGAATGGCAATGTCAGTCATACTCAGTACATTGTGCAGAAAATTAGATGCATTGACCTCTTGATCATGCTGCTGTCACAGTGCAGCGCCCCAGTGTAAGAAGAGGCAAACAGGATGTTACCTCCCTGTCCAGGACTCCTACAGGTGATGGGTGTGGTAATCGGCCAGAATTTGTTTCTGATTCATTAGGCTCCCTGAAATGTTCATTCAGGATGATTGAAGCATGTTGTCAAACCTGCTGTCAGACTTCCTGGGGGAAGAGAAGGATGTTCACATCACCAAAGCCCTCATGGAAACGGGAAGTATGGGCCAGGAGCTGCAACTGCGTCACAAGGTGTGGAAGCATCATACTACTTACTGGTGCTGAGGAGGCAAGAGCTCCCTCAGGCCAGGCCACCAAGACTCTGCCCTGGGAAAACTACCCCTGCTGGTTAACTAGCTGGTTAGCTTCACTGGGTGGGTGTGCAGGCTAAGTTCAAGTTACTTTATATTGATCGAGAGCCCTCTTTTACAAAAACTTATGTCCCTTCGTTGCCTCTGCCAGGCCTCAGTTAAGTCTGGATCTGTCCTTTGGCAGGTTTACACAGCAGAGATCAGTACTTTAAATCTTGCATCTTTTATCAGAGGGAGTCTCATCAAATATCTTTGAATGTTGGTCCAGATTTCCTGGAGTGGCCTAACTCAGTCATGGCTCAGTCAGCTCCTTGGCATGTAGCAAGAGGAATGCAAAGTTCTGTAAAGCAGGGACAAAAGGCTGGCTGTACTTCAGCTTCTGTGTTTTTTGGTCACAGTCAGACAACATGGTTTTGCCTTTCTCCATCCCAGTCTGGAACTGTCAGAACCATACACAAAAATACGTGGAAGAAGTTTCCTAATCAGCATTTCCCCTTCACTCTCACTTTGGGATCAATAAACTTCATTGCCACAAAACCATGAATAGGGAAGGATTGTATCTACTTGTAAAGGTAGCTACCCTGTCTGAATTTGGCTAATTCTGTCAGACGCTACACAAGACTGTCACTTTTTTTTTTTCTTTTAAACGTTATGTTAACACTTGTACAGCTTATCGTGCCAGCAGTGCCTCACTTAACTAAACTAAAATGGTAATTAGAATTAAATGAAAAGACAGAAGAAGGGATACATAGACAGGCCAGTGTGCTCATATCCTTTGTGTTCTGGTGCAAGGATTTATTTCCCATGATCTGCAGATGTAAGACCAAGAAATGTATGAATTATCTACTATGAGTATTCTCTAACTTCTGTTTCTGACATAAATATCCCATCATGTCTATTTGTTTGGTATCTAAGTATTTTCCTCAGGCTTCAGCATTTTTCTGCTACACTGAATAATCAGCCCACCCTAACCAGATTTCATGCTATTTCAATTCAGGAGCTACTCTTCGTAAATGAGGATGCTTAGTTTTCCTCTGTGACAAAGCAGAACTAATCAAGAAAAAGAGATGAGTACATCTTGGCTTTTTCATTTTTGTTGATAAAAGCCTTGTCTCATTACAAGGAACGTTTTAGGAGTAACATAAATTACAAGTTTTCATGGCTTTTTGGAGTACAGGGAAGTGAAACTGTCTAGGAAAGCTTTGATGAATATTAGGCTAGTTTAATTTCATTCATGTAGCTCCATGTAAATCCATCATATGGTAAGGTTTAGAATATTTTGACACTGAGATTTAAAATACATAAATATAGCAAAATGAAATGCATGAATGGGTAAGTGGGTGGAGAGCTGGGATTACTATTACTGGCAAGAATCTGTCTATACTGTTTATTTTTTCTTATTATCTATACTTCCGTTGCAGCTGGAAGCATCATTCAAAGACAAAATCTTACTGTAATAAATGTTTTACAGACACAGAATAGAACTGCTTAAAAGCTAAACATGAAGCATCACCTAGATTGCTGTGTTTGGATTTCATCACTGCTTTTCAGGCTGGGGAAAGTCTTGATGGGAGCCATCAGACATCTTGAAAACACAGTCTCTGAGGGAAGCTTGAGAGTATGTTGTGTTTAGAGAAGAGAAAATGGATAGGAGAGACAGTAATAAAACAAAGAAGAAATAAACTGCTCTTAATAGGACAAAAATGGGCCTAACTTGCGGCTGATGAGATGTAGGGTAGATATCACAAAACATTTCATGTTGGTATGGCAAGTTCAGCAAGAGACTGAATTATCTTCTGAGGTTGTGGGATCTCTGTTAGTGGAGGGCTTTAGCAGTGTACTAGACAAATATCTGCTGGGTCTGATGGGCGCATAGCTGTTCCAGTGTACTAGACAAATACCTGCTGGGTCTGATGGGGGCATAGCTGTTCCCATGGTGCAGGATTAGATGGTTTCTCATAGTCTGTTTGCTACTTTCTATATTCTATTCAGAGTAATTTCCATACCCATAGTAGGGAGAAGGTAGAAGGAACTGTAGGAAGGAAAAAGAAAAAAGCATGTTTGGGGATGTCATGTAGTAGCTTGCACAAGGGGAGAAACAGAGAAGGAGGGAATGATGGAGGAATTACTCAAGATGGCAAGAAGCAAAATTGTGCCAGCTTGTTTCCATCAGCCGTGGTTTATAGGTGTTGTCCAGAGTGAGCTGCCTGGGGCAGACATTTTTACATAAGTCTGAACTGCACTTGCCGTAAAGGAACCCAACCTGGCTGTGGTGCTTGGGTGCTCCCATACGGAAGTGTTAAAGAAGAAACATGCGCTTGGGCTGTTCAAAGGTCCCAGACAGGAAAATTACAGGGCCCCATAAGGGGAAGAGCATTTCTGCATATGGGATTTTACTTCCAGAGAAGGACCGTAGGGTAAAGTATATAAAAAATAAGCTAAAGCACAGGAGTGTTTAGTGCTTGGAAATGGCATTTTTATAGAATAATTTTTATCTGGCATTTCTTTAAACTTCTCAGTCAAGTAAATACTTGTTTATAATTTACTACAAAAGGCTGGAGCTGGCTTATTATGTAAATTTTAGATAAAGGTGTGTCAACCCTGATAAAAAATCTACTCAGTCACGTATGCTAAGTTAGTGCTATTGGGAATAAAAACCGCAATTCAATACATTTTATTCATCCAAAGATGACTTGCCTTCCATGAGCACATCCTTAGGTAAGTATAATTTGCCATGGTTTTATAAAAAAGAAGACAGTGACTAGAGAGTCTGAACGATAGGGCACAAAAGAGAGGAGTCGAAGCAAGATTTTAAATGAGGGTGCCTTTTAAACTTTTATTATTTTTATCTTTTACTTCAAATCCACAAATCAGTTCTGAGATCCTGTCGGGTCTTAATTAGCAGGTTTCCACAGGCATTGTAGCACTAACTACCCTTTTTCCTAAGAAAAGGAAGCCAGGTCAGTGAATCTGTGGCCTGAGAAAACACTTTACTGATTTTCTCTTCAGTGGTGACATGCATTCAAAACCTAAACTAAGACTGAAAGCCAGTAATTGAGAACTGAAGCCATGCAGTGTAAATTGGAACGCCTTCTCCTCCGGAGAGAATAATTTTGTTCTCTGTATGGCGTTGTGTTGCAGCTGTAAATGCCCGTATCTCTGAAGCTGTTCTTCCCTTAGTGTCTGCCTCCCCTTTCCTTCTTTCTTGAAATGCTTTTCCTGTTCTTTCCAGTAACTCTTTGCTATGTTTTCCAGCCAATGGTCTACTTTCAAAAGAAGACTGAGAACTGTTATCTGTAAAGCCACAGAAGGTGTGCAACTTGATGAGATATTAAGTGAATATGAGGGAGACATACAAAAAAGGATATAGGTGTCTACTGTGATTCTGCTGGTGTAGAGATGTTGGTGATTTATGTGTGAGAGGTAAGCCGAACTGCGTTTCTGCATGCTGCAGTCTTGCTACGCTCACTGTGACTCACCTGTTTTTCCCGCTGTTCCTTACAGCCAGATGGCATAAACCAGTAAAGCCAAATAATTCATCAGTCTACAGACTTGTGATAGACTGGTCCCCAGACGAGGCCAGGATGGTTGGAAGTCTTTTCGTGCTGCTACAGGTAGGACAGTTTCTTTGTTTGTAGTATTGAAGAGTTGAGTTTATAAATGCTGCAGCAGAACGTCAAGTGCTAATAAAATCCTGGTCTTGACAGGTAAAAATCAATCTTTTCTGAAATTGTTTTATAAACCTGTGTCTTTCTGCTTAACAACATAGCAGTGTTTCTTTAGAAAGAGCAACAGCACAAGTAGCTTGCAGATACAGCATGAAGAACAGTTAATTGCCCTTCAACAAAAATAACTCCATGAAGCAATCAATCAACAGAAGAATGGAGAACAGCATTGTTTGTCAATCATCCAAAGCCAACCAACTATTTGAAGGGCTATACTAGCATCACTGCTTTCATTGGATTACTGGTTCATAAATAGACAGCACCAGCCCAGCCTTTTACATGCAATACAGAGACCAAAATGAATATATTGTGCCTATTTGTGCCTATATTGTGCCAGATTGTTGTCATATGGGCTGTTCATTGCACATGACAAGCATACAAAAATGCCATTTCTTAGAATAGCTAGTCTGGCCAATCTTGGTTTGGTGGCCAATTGAATGGCATGAAAAGTTGCATTTTGGGGTGACAGAATGCAAAGAATGATAGAGATTCTAATGACTGTTCTTATAAATCCCTGAGGAGACAGCTGCACTGACTGGCTCGTGCTGAGACATCCTTACCAGGTACCTGTGAAATCAGCTATTATTTCAGCTAAGGCCAAGCCACAGCATTTTTGATGTCATTTGTATTATTTTCATTTTTTGATTCAAGCTGTTAGCCAGTTTGGAGATTAACGGGTTGTTTGTGTTAGAAGATAATTGCATTATGATGTTAGGCATTGCCTTGATGAAGTCCTGATTATTTACAAGGCATGCAAAAAGTCTTATTTCCCAGAGCATAGGATGAAACAATCCACAGGCTATTGCACACAGTACTTTGACCAAAAAAAAGCTCCCTCAAAGCCTTTTCTTGGATCCGCAATCTCAAAATCCAGTTTTTCTTTTTTCTCCCTGTGTGTTTCTCCCTAGTGTGTGCGTGTTTGTTTCTTGTCTTTCACTCGCACAGACACAAAGCTCCAGATTTCAAATGCCCTTTTTGCACTTGCTGCATCAGTCTAGAGGGAAACCTTTTGGACAATATGCAATGTACGGAAGTTTCACCATGTGCCTGTCATTTGCATAATAGTTGCTGTTGTTTCAGTTCTCTGATTCTAGAGGGGTGTTTGTTACCTTTTTATGCTTATTTTAAGGAACAGTCATGGTTATGCACCAACTTCAATGAAATTTGGTGCGACAGACAGACCTCCCTTTCAGCTTAGCGGGACGTTTACACCAGTAATTTGCATATTGCTTTTACCTAAACATCACCAGTGAAACGTTTTGGGTGTACATTATTCTTTTTGGGGCCTCGATACTAACCTGTTCAGAAAAATAACCTTCCTCCCTTGGATATCAAGAACATAAACTTGCTGCATAAGACTGTTTTTAGACGTTTTATCTTTGTATTTTAGTTCCTTGTGAAAATAAGCATTTTGAACAATAAGATACCATGTCTAACTCTTTGAGATATCTGAAAGCCTGAAGTTTAAAAACAATTACATCCTAAGTACATCTGTTAAGCAAGTGGAAAACCTCTAGGTCAAGTAGGACTGATAGATGAAGATGTAATTGCTTCTGTTTCAGTTTCCTGTTTTCCTCATGAGGTTGGTTTAAAGCCTTTTCTAGTGCCACATGGTTTTGGTTCTCTCTATCCTACTGACTTGCTCCAGTGGACTGGATAAATCACTTTACCTTTACACCTCGTTTCTCAATGTTATAACAGCAGTTTTTACCTCTGCTGGGTGTCATGACACCAATGTACTAAGTGTACAGTACACTTAGTAATTGTAACTTAGTAATGTAAAGTAGGAGAAGTTGCTTATTATGATTATTAAAAAAATGCAGGCAAAGTGCTAAGCTAATTGAGAAAGAATGCAGAAACATAGAGATTCTAAATCTTTTAGCTGACTGTCCTGTACAAATATAATGGTCCAAGTTCTTCAGAAATGACATTGCAACTGATAAAGAGGACTATAAGAGCATTTATTTCTCATACCACCTGTGCCAGTCTTCAAAACCACACAATGTATTTATTTTTTAGTATTAAATCCTGATTTAATAAATTAAATTCTGATCTCAGTAGGGGAAGATATTTTGTAGATTAATGGATCAGTTTCTCCCGGTGTCACGCAAGCATACACTTTTCATTCTTTTATGTACTTTGCAGCATTGTCATGAATTGTCTGTCTTCAGAAGTTAAAAGCATTTGGCTTCTCAAGACCCAGCATGAGAAAGATTACTGCTGTTCTGCAGGTAGGTGAACACTGACCTCACTGAAATGAAGTTACTTGCTTAGGATCAGAAAATCAACAGAGCTGAGAAAAAAATTAGATTTCCTTAATCTCAAGTTATATCTTTACCACCATCCTTCCCCTCTTATCATCATTATTACTGGTAGTAAGTATTTACATCTGGTATTGCGTGAACCATGGTTAGCTCATAGAAGTTTCTAGCTGTATATATAAATCTATCATGTGAAATCATTTATACTGAGAAAGATAAATATTGAAATAACAGGGTTAAAACCAGGATAAAAAGAGCCCAAAGAGCCCGTTAGTTGACAAAAACATTTTTCTTGTCTTCATCTGCCAGAGGGTGAAACTGGTCTGATATAAATTTAAAAAAAAGAGAGAGAAAACAACTAAACAAGGCAAGAAGTTGCATGCTTGTTTAATGGCAAACATGTTAAATTCCACATATAACCATTATGGACTAACCCCCTTGTATGACTGACTCAGTGCAAATGTTGACTACAGCCAGTGAGGCAGGCTCACTTTGTTCAGTTAATGGCTTCCTGAACAATAAGGAGAAAAAACAATGAGAACTGTTATGAATAAGATCCTCATAAAATGTGGGTCTAATTGCTCTAATTGCTTAAACAATATGAGTTGTCAAGTGCCCAGCGCAGACTGTAATGTAGGAGAACCGGAGAAATCAAATTAAGAGGTATGCAGTTTACCTTTTCCTGCATGCTCACGTTCTCACCCAAATCACTGGGAACTTTAGGTGCTGTCTCCATACCAGAAGAGGAACAGTAGCACTCAAAACTGCACCCATAATATTGTCATTTATGTGAACTGCTACTTCAGGACAAAGGTGACAGGAGAAAGTATAGTGGTGTTCACGTGACTCTTCTATGTAGTTCTAGATCTCTCAGACTAAGCTGTCCTCGTGTCCATGTTTTAACAGAGTGGAAGCGTCTGATAAAAATCTTATGAGCCACTACTTCTTGGTATTGGTATCAGGTACTACTTCATCCTCTGAAAGGCACAGAAAAATTGTATGATTTCTTATCCATATAGAACCTTAAGAGAACTCAGAAATGCAAACTTTGTAGCAAGCCAGGGACAGGGCAAAACTCTGCTGTCCTTTTTCAAACTGAGTAGGATAATTGTTCACCTGAAGTTTTAAAGGCTGGTTGGAATACTGGTTTTTGTTAACCTTATTAAAATAAAGAGAGAGCAAGAAGACCTCTTCACTGAAAGAACAGAAACAAAATGTACTGAAAGGAGGATGTATGTGGAACAAATTCTGTAGTAAAATCTACTCAGATGGGGTATCTAGTGCTTGAATCATTTAAAATGAGATGGGACTCAGCAGTTACAGAACAGTGAAAGGAGCTATCTTGCATTTGCCTAGGGCAGTTCTTCCTCATGAACGGCTTCTCAGCTGATCTTTCCTACATCTTCTGTGGTAGCTAAAGCAGAGCTTTTTCCAGGTGCTGAAGATAAACAAACTGTCTATTTAGTTTTTTCCCTAATGTGCTTGTGGGGAGACCCCAGAATGGCTTTTTGCAGAAGTGGGGTTGAGTATACCTCTGGCAAGAGTTCTGCACACTAGGAAGTAGAGGGAGGGCTGGGATAAGATAGAAACGTGGAGGGGGGAAAAGGTTCAGCTGCCCCCTGGGTGACAAGGCACTTTCTACCTGTCTGAAGCATAGGTGAACTAAGCAGCTGATCACCAGACATGTGGCATATTTCAGCAAAAAATTTGATCCTTCCTCCAGCACTTGGCCAAAATGGTATCAGCCATAGTGTTTGCTCTTTATGAAGGATAAGAACAAGTGTATCTAACCTGAAATGCCAAAAGGTGGCATTCTTCACAAACCTGGTACTGGAAAGGACTTTGTCTTGCAACTGAGCTTCTGTTTTTAAGGCTCCTAGTCCTAGAAGCAAAACTAACATCTGACTCCCCGAGACTGCCGATAAACAACATGGTAGCTGGGACTGGGATGCAACCTCTCTAGGCTGGACTGAATCCACTAGGTCATTTCACAGGGGCAGCTAATAGGTAAAAATAGGTGCCGGTGGATAACAAAGCATCACATCTTATTACCAATTCCCTGAGAAAGCCAACATCCTTCTGTCTTTCCTCTCAAAAGGATGCTTTATTCTAATTACATATCACTTTATTAGGCAGCTGAAGCAAAGAGCACATTTGATGCTAATGAAGTGCTGCTGTGGTTGGAGTCTGTAACTATTTTTGGACCTGCACATCTCCAGCACTTTTGATTGGGTGGCTGGGGCTTTGGATGTCTCTAGCTTCTTCTGTGGGGGATGCTCAGTGAAAAGCAATGACTCAGCTAGCCAGGACTGCAGAACTGTTTATATGGCTCAGATTGTGAAAAGCTGCGGGACAGCAACAATGCACAAAAAAGCTCTTTATTTGGTGGAAGTATTTTCCAGGTAGTGGACAGTACTATCTAGATTGAAAAATCCTTCTGAATATTCACATTGTTTCTGGGTTGGTCATCTGTACAGTCTTTGCTTTTTCTCTTTTCCATCCTCCACCTCAGAGCATTTAAAAAAAAAAAAAAAAAAGCGCCGGATTTCACAGAACTCAAGGGAAATAGTTTAGAGGTAAAGAGCGAGACAAATCACAACTCTGCATAGGCCACTTTTTCCTATGAAAGATGAGGGCTTTGCTGTCTCTTCCATTTTCTGCAGCAAAGCCTGAGGAGCTACTTGGCACTGTAAAGCCATGATTCGGTGTTAAAATTTTACTTAACAGCTAGCACCCCCAGAAGCAGGCCTGCTCCTACGCCTCTTAATGCTGACACCAACACTCATCTGGTCCCATAGTGACTCAGTTCAGGCATCTAAACAAGCACAAAAACACCCATTCCTGCCTCTCCCTCCCTCCCTTGTAGGGCTACATAAGCTGTTGGGTTAGCTCCTGGCTCACCACCAGACAAGTGATAGTACTGGTGCGAGGGAGGCAATGGTAGTACCCGAGACCACTTTTCTCCGGACCTATTAAGACAAATGAACTGTATTACCAAATCACATCCTGTCAGCATATTGGGAGTCAAAGCCTCCCCATTCAGTCACCAAAGTTAATTGTTCTGAATGTCGTTTCATGTATTCTGATACATGAATAAGGAATGTGTTAAGAGTAACCAATAATTATAGAAAATACCATTCTATCTAAATGCCTAATTATTCTAAGACTAACCCATGGGGCTATTTTGTTACTACATCTTCCCCATTCCCAGAGCGTTCTCTCAGAGGGGAAGGGAGTAACAGAGGTGCATTAGCACCTCTAAAGTCTTCCCTTAGAGTAACTGTGTGACTGAATCACAGAATGGTTGAGGTTGGAAGGGACCCCTGGAGATCATCTAGTCCAACCCCCCTGCTCAAGCAGGGTCCTCTAGAGCATGTTGCCCAGGATCGCATCCAGGCGGGTTAATCTTGATTTGCAGACTTGTAATACCACAAACAACTATATGCTATGTTCGATCAAGCAGCCTCCTTTCTATTGTTGAACTTTTCTTCCAGTTTAAGTATTCCCATGTACAATTTGTACGTTAACTTTAGCAAGCTTTTAAAACCTATTGGGTTAAGATCTTGGTAATATCAGTAAACATCTTTCCTCTATTAGTAATTAGCAAAGTACAAGCAATAAGATGCACGTGACACTTCTATATCTTTTTAGGGTTGATTTATGTAAACAAGCCAGTCCCCTCACCGCAGTAGAATCTCTCAACTTAAGAAACCTCTGACTATACCCGTTATCCACCAAACCACATACAACAGAAGATGCAATTCATCACGTAGGTCTGAGGACCATGAAAGATAAATAAATGAAAGAACATCTTCCCAGAGCACAAGGCAGAACCTAGCATAGAGCAGCATGACACATACCCCCAACTGGCAGGCCAGTTGTTACGCATTTGGACAGAGCCTGCTCGTTGGCTCCCTCTGCTGCACCACACTAACATTAAATCTGAAACATCAAGAGGAAGATGGTTGGAAGGGTGATCAGTGCTTTATACTTCTACACTGTCTTAACGCCAGCCAGCGCTAGCTAGAAGACAACCGCTGCCTCTCAAGTGGGAGAATCCACTCAGCCAAGTATTCTGCAGCTGTCTGTCTTGTTTCATCAGCTCTGGAGCACAGGCAGCCTGACCCCTCCTTCCCTTTGAATGCTCTGGTGGCTAGTATGTGACATGTTGCAGGCTTTCCCCTCCCTTTTCTAGCCCTTCTTTTCATGAAGCTTGTATGATTTTGATGAAATCTCTACTCTATCAAGTTTGACCCCGTTGGCTACTTTCAACTAAGAATTAATGGGAAGACAGATGGTGCAGTTATATAAGCCTTGTTTCCTGCATAAGCCTGGCTAAGAGCGAGCTCAAGTGCGCCAGATCTGTTAATATGTACATCCTTAGTTTTTGTAAGAGCAGAGCTATTGCTACCAAGGTGTCATCTTGCAGATATCTGAACTGTTCCCAGAGGAAGGAACCAGACAGGACTAACTTTCTCACTTTCTGCTAGTTTTTAAAGGCAGTGAGTCTCAACTGAGCAATTTTTCCCCCCAAGTCTCCCAGGGTAGAAGCAGGCTTGCCTTTGACAGTTTTTATTTTTAACTCATTTCTGAAAGTACAGAATTAAGAATCATGCTCTTGGTTTTTGCTCTAAGCAGGTACTGCTGTGGCAGGTATTCTTTTTTCTAACTACAAGCGCTACAGCCCACAAAGGTAACCAAAGAGCAGGAAAAATACAGCATTTGGGAGGGGAGTTGCATTCCAAGTACTGTTATGATTCCAGGAACATTAAACAGTTATCCGCAAAACTTGGGAGTATCCACAGTGTTCCTACTTCAAAATGCAAGGCATAGCTCTAGAAATGCCTCTAAAAGGTTTGCTGAGGTTGTTCATAGATGGACAGATCAAAGCTGTTCAAAGATGCCATCTCGAAATTGTATATATTCTTTAAAATGCTAAAGAGTTACACAGTGGTGGCTTGTTGCTAAAACTTAGTTCTTCATGCAAGATACCTGAAGCATAAGGTACAAACAGCATTAAGGGTGCAGAGAACTACATTAGCACAACAGCCGAGCTAGATGTTTATTCTGCAATTCATCATGATGGAGAGTTAATCGAGCCTTTGTATATACTCTATTACCAAAAAAGGATTTTCCATCGGGAACTTATTCATAGTTAAGGAATCTGAAATTCAACTGCTCATTCTTTACTGTTTATGCTAACTAGCAAAATCTCATCCACTCAAAACGCTGGTTACCTACAGTGTCTCACTACTTCACACCACAGTTTTCCTATTCTTTAGGGGATCTGCACGTAGGATTTGCACAGCACACACTACTGTGAACTGCAATGAAGACACCAGAAATTCTTGCATTTTTCCCCTCAAATTTAATGCGGTGTTTTCAGAACAATTAGAACACCAATTTGTGAGGATAAACTCCATTTGAGAGAGAAAATGTAGACCGCAGGTACCCACGGAGCTGAGGCACCTTCTTGATTCTTGCCAGGATCTGTGAATCCACGGCCTTCTGGTCTGACTTGCGTTGCTCCGTTATCTCATATTTCTAGAAAGAACACGGAATAATATTAAAATACTTGCAGAATGACTTCAGACTCATCTCTGGAGCTAAGAGTTCAATGCAAGCCCTGAGCTCTTGGCACCTCAAGAAAGCTTCTCTGCATTTGTTCTAAATATGGGAAAGGTGGTAGGAGACCGGAGATGGCAGAGGGGACTGAAGCCACCGTTTGGCTTAGGTTACAGATGATCAGAGCCAGCAGCACACTGTTGGCAACATCAAAATAGCAAAGGTGTTTCGCAAACAAACAAAACCCACCAATATTCAATTAGATTAACCATGGCTGCTATTCTGCTAAAGGTAGAAGCAAGAGAGTGCCCTATTAATTCATTTTAATGGCATTACCTCACTTTACTGAAGACCACTTAAATGAAAATTAAAATTGTCCGTTTGTTTCACAAAATTTTCCCCCTTCCAGCCTGGCTTTAAGTAACAAGGACACGTGCAAAGAACGATCAACTGAATTCCTTACTTCTTTTTCAGTGTCAAAGATCTCGCCTTCCTGGTGCTTGGGCTTACGCAGCCTCTTCTTCTTAAAGTATGCATCAGTAAGATGTTTGGGAATTCTCACTCCAGTGATATCAACCTTGGTAGATGTAGCGATAACAAATTTCTGATGGGCCCTACGCAGAGGAACACGGTTGATAACCAAGGGTCCTAAAGGCAAAAGAAAGAAAAGATACACAAGGTCATCTTTTTTGGCAACAGCCACCACTTCTAAGGTTGAAGTTCTGTGGCGTATAAGTTTTACGGAGATGCTCACAGTTAAAATCTGAACAGTCAAAGCCCTTCTCCATGGCTGACCAAAAGGTTGAAAGATGCTTCCTGATCTATTCCAGATTTTCAAACTTTCCACCTCCCCAAGATTCACAAACATGATTCCACATAGTCAGATGAACACATACCTTGCCAAACCATCCATATAGCAGTCTCCAACACTACCGATACCAGAAACAAAGTTGGACTAAAAATGGATTTGACTAAAAAAAAAAGTTTCTTACCTGTAACAAGCAACAGGCCAGTAGCAAGCTGCTTCAAGAAGACCACACGCTGAAAAGAGATGTGACATTAGTCCTCAGGTCCAAGCATTACATCTTCTTTGATGCTTGGGAAATACTGCAACCAAACTGGGACCGTGTCTACACTCAGCCCATATTACTGGTACATGCATTGACAAAGCATCGAGGCACAGATGTAACTATACTACATGAGGGGCAGCCATCCACATAAGCCACGCTATAAATGTTTCACAAAGGGCAATTCTGCCAGCGTTACTGCATCTGTGACAGACTGCAGCTCTCTATATGCTTCACCATTTAATACTGAGCAAAGCCAATTAGTACATTGTCAGATCTTTTGCCTATTCCTGCACATTCTACAGTATGGTGAGACAGCAAAACTGTCACTCAGCTTCTCTGAGGACCCAAGTAAAGGCAAGAACTAGATTAAAAAAAACAGAAGGGGATCACAATATATCATCAGACCTGTCCCACACTGGGATTTTATCTCTTTCTGATCTAGGATGCTAGGTTTCCTTCCCTGAACAGCATTCTTTTAAGTGATGTGACAGTGAAGCTGAAGAACGCAAGGAAATAAAGGGTGTCAGTTAAGACCTGCTAGTAAACGTCATTAAGACATGCAACACAGCTTAATGTAACAATCGAGTGTTATCTTCACAATTCAGATTAGGAATAAAAATTCAATTCTTTCTTTGCAATAGCTGGTCAAAGACAAACTTTTGGCCTCGCTGCTACAGTAATAAAAACAGGCATTAAATCTGCTATTATGCAACCCAAAATTAGTGTAACACGAATCTACACACTTTTTGCATTACAGCAAGACTCCCTTAACCTTGTCAGAACAACTGGATTAGCCTGTCTTATTTCCAGCTTTGTATAGTAGGACATTTCTTTAGAGACTATTTCCCTTAAAGGCAGGACAGGAGAAAGCCATCTCTACAGAGTTCACAGAACCTAATTAGAGTTGCAAATTCCTTTCTTCTGGGGGCTGGAACAGCATCCCATGAAATCAACTGGTACATTCGAGTTGCCTCTGCTTATTCAAAGAGATTTCAGCACAAAACTGCTGCAAAGCCACCATGAGAGCCATGACAAGAACATGGAAGAAGTTCCAGGTTACCTTGCCTCTATGACGACCAGTCAGAAGGATCAGAACAGTTCCTGGAGTAATAGAGGCACGCAGCTTCCTCTTGTGTTGACAAAAGGGCTTTTTGCCATGACTCAAAAGTTTGCGAGGAACATCCTCAGTTGGATAGTATCTTGGCTAGAAAAAAAGGAGCAAAATATTTTAACCACCCCATATCCCATGGGATAGCCAGCTTTCACTACAATTTCAATTATTACCCCAAAGATGATCTTTCTGAAAGATACCTTTTGCTGCTTATGGCACTTCAGGAAAATACTGAGTATTTTCTTTCAAGTTACATAGCTGCAAAAATTAAGACCAACGCTGTTTTTCTAAGCATTCTTCCAATTCAGTGCAGCAATACAGATGGCAGAAGATGACCCGCTCTTGCCTGCTAATCAAGCTTTGAATTACAGGCATGTCTCCAGGGAACTAGAATCAATAGAGCTGTTATCCCAAGGAGATAACTGGAAACTGTTCACTGTTACATGGCAGGGGTTGAAGCTCTTGCTGGGTGCACTAGGACTGCTAGGTTACGCTGTCCAAGATGCACATCGTCTAGACGAGATTTACACAAACACAGTGCACATAACAGCCCATAGCAGCCTTAACTGCGAGCATCTGAGTTCATCAGCGCAACTCATCATCTGCTGAGAGCAAGCTTTTTCCCTGGCACGTTCTTACCATTTTGCGGACTTTAACCACACGGCTGCCTCCATTCTTATCTCCACCAACTGGTTTGGTGATGGTTGCAGGTGGCTTTTCTTTCTTTTTCTTTTCTATCTGTAGGCAGAGAAAAAGGGAACGCAAAGAACATTTCAAACCAAAGTCACTCTGAAAAGCTATCAGACAGTACGCTTATTTAAACACGGTATTTCTTGTCCATCTACCTTTGTTTCTGGAGCAGTGTACTTGCGCTTGTACATTGCTTTTCTGGCATACATAGCTGACCGGGAATACCTCCCGATTCCCCGGGCCAGTACAGGGTTGCGGCTGGCATGATGCTTCTTAGGCTTCCTTGTCTTCTCGCGTATTTTCTTCTGGCTTGCCTTCTTCTCACCTGGTTTACTCTCACCTGCCTTTTTATCACCTGCCTTCTTCTCACCCGCCATCTGTGGACCCAAGTAAAATGGAAATTTTTGTGTATTATGAGGCACGCAGAGAAAACATTAACATTGCAAAAGACAAGGATTGGAAATAAAACCTTTAAACCATTCCACTATTTCTCAGGCACCTTTTACAGCAAATCAAGACACCATGGAGTCAAAAACCATCCTGTTGGCTGCCTGTTGGCCCACAACGCAAAAGGCTCTTCTGCACTAATTACACCAGCTACCCATTCCCTCGATACATCCAAACCCTCGAATCCAGAAAGCCCAAGAAGAGGCACACGCACGATGAGGTCGCAGCCACACGGTGCTCGGGACTCCCCCAGAGCTCGGGCCCCGGGGAAGGCTGCCGAGCCCCACCCGCAGGGCGGGCCCCAGCCGGACCCGCCGCGCACCGCC